TTTTTTTTTTTCTTTTTTGAAATGTTGAAGGCAAAGGAAAGTGAATCTGATCCTCTCATAAGTGTAGAAAATGGATCTAGCATCCTAAATGACGGTGTTACAAAAGCCCCTGCGTGGAATTCGAACAAGGACTTGCTTGCATAAAGCCTCCTCACTCGTTACCAGTTTGTTCAGCCTAGTTCAAAATTCATATAAGAAACCATTCGGGCAATGAAGATGTTGCTGCAGGGGTTTCCATACGTCACAGAGCATGGGTTTGAGCATTTTTGAGAAAATTATATAAGTTCTATCCTAAATAGTTATCAATGCAAAAGAATACTCTTTTAGATGTAGCGTTTTTTATTATACCTTTCTACTAGTTAGGTATGCCAACAAAATGCATAATGCAATGGGGTATTGTTGTTCCCATATACTGAAATTCTTATGTTCTTCCCGAAAGAGGGAAAAAAGCGATATGCAGCCTTCAAAATGAAATCATATCAATCTTAACTGAAATGGTTGCTGGTATCCGACAAGAGACTGCTGTGTTCCTACTTGATTCTTGGTACCCTTGGATTTTGCTGAAGCCGCTAATATGTGGTAAAGCTTTTGGAAGTGAAAATAGGGTCTTTCTGTTATTAGGCTTTGGCGAATATGGATGGAACCTGGTAATATGATGGGATTTATCAGTGTATTAGGTTTTGTGAGCTCGTTTCTTGAGACTCTTCTAAGTTCAATTGTGTTTCTAAGCTCTCCAAGCATGCAGCTCAGTGTACCTTTTTATGTGGAGGAATGGATAGAAGAGGGAGGTACATAGCCAATGGCACCTCCGGGTTTTTGACACCCAGCTGTTTAGTCATTGTTTGGATTGTAACTTCTCTCGTCTTCAATAGAGGGAGCTCTTAAATTTTAGATCCTGATGGTGGTAAAGGTAGCCTTGGCTTTTTTTATTTTTTAACCTTTTTCTTCGTTTCTAATGCTTTGTATATGTGTTTTTAAAATGAATTCCTCTCTTAAATACTTTTTACAACGAAAAAAATGCTATATCTATATACAGGAGAATATACTCAAAATTGATGAAAAGAAGCACAAAGAAGGTGCAAAAAAAAAAAAAATACCAAGATAAACTTAAGAAATCAATCCTTACTTCAAGCAAGGATTAGTCTGTTGACGTCCTAATTGGTAGAAACCAACTAATAGTTTATATGAATTTCGTAGTTGATGTGAGAAATTTCTTTCACCTAGCTTAGGTCAAACAAAGCACAAGAAACCCAATATAATTACTCTAGACAAAGAGTTTTTCGAGTAGGAGTTACACATGGGGGAGTCTACTAAGAAAAACTTATGAATCACTTGAAAAAGAAAATAGACATAAATAAGAATACGGATTCCTCTCATCAAATCTATAGTTAGTCAATCACCATGTTATTAGCTCACTCACTCACTCTTTAACAACCATATTTGTTCTCCTACCTAAAAAAATTGTTGTCATGCTCCACAAACAAGGAAAAAATATTCATTGCAATAGTTATATCACGTCATTATTATTATGTTATATTACCAATCAATATGCAAACAAATAAAAAAGTAGGCCCTACAAAATTCAATAACTACCCGTTCATGTAAACAAATAACTACTGACCCTTCTTTCATATAAGTCAATAACTACCTAAGTGAGATTCACTTTGCCCATTTAGAGTTTTATTTCGATTAACCATTAGATTATTACTCTCTTCTCCGAAGCTAAAGTTATTATTGGTACTACTGAACTCTTTGACCATGTCTCAAGCATTATTCAGTTGAATCATTTAGTGCAGCGCAATTATAAACCTTAAATGTTTATTAATGTGCAGTCTAATCATTCCATCTTTCTTTAAACTGTGGAGCAAGTTCATGTTCCAAGTGATCCAAAAGCTTAAAGGCATTTCGGCAGTTGGTCGGTCAAGACCAGTTGGGGACTTTCCCAAAGCTCCTTTTGACCACAGCTATGTAAGAAACACTGACACAAAGAACAAGACTAGACTGAGGGCGGAGAAGATGAAGAAAGTCAATGGATTCATTCGCATATGAGCCTTTGCCTATACTCAAGAGACTTGTGAGATTGACAGAGACATGGAGGCCAGACTTTTGGTTGGTGATATCATTTCATTAATGCTGAGATAGTAATTGTAATTTTTGCATACATTACATAGAAGAACATTTGAGTCTATGTTTTTTTGTTCACATTAATCTTTAAAATCCGACTCGAGTGTCAAAAAATTTTAGAAAGTCCAATATTTTATTATCTCGAATTTGTTATTATCTTTGTATTTTTTACAAGCCAAAAGAGTCCCTGACAACTATTTTCCTACATCAATGCTCGTGAAATAATTATTGGGAGAACTTGTGAACAAGGGGAGCAAAAAAGAGGAAAAATCTGAAGCCACATTGGTATGATGTGAAGCAGTTTTTTTTTAATGGCTTTTGATCTTTTAAAAGCCAAAAAAAAAAAAAAAGAGGGTTTTTTTGCATCTTATACCCCAAAAGATGTCTTGATTCTTTTTTGCACCCCGAAAATTATTTTGCTCACATTGCAACACATGTGAGTGACATGTGTATTAATTTTTAATAGAGTCTGAAATGAATGTCAGTCCGAATGCTATGTTAAAATAAATTTAGANAGTGACATGTGTATTAATTTTTAATAGAGTCTGAAATGAATGTCAGTCCGAATGCTATGTTAAAATAAATTTAGATATTCAGGGTACGATATAAGAAAAATAATTTTTTAGAATGCAAAGTAAAAATCGAAACATCTTTCAAAATATAAAATAATAATCGGAACATCCTTCCAAATATAAATTGCGAGAAAAAAAAAAGGGAGAAAAGAGAGCTCAGGTGCACTTTGTTTTCATCCGAGGAGTCAGACGATTGTGAGGACCCTGTCGTCACGTTGAGCGCATAGCTTTCATCACAGCTCTCCACAAAAAATGCATCAGCCGGGAATCGAACCCGGGTCTGTATCACTTACTATTTGTGCCTAATTTTACAAACCTAATGTTTTATAGTCATTAAATGGATGGTGGATTTTCATTCAATGTTAATACCCAACAGTTAATCTATTAGACATAATGAATTAAATCTTCCATGTAGGTTGTAATGGTGTCGTACCTTCGACAACGACAAATAAAAAAAAATTATACAACACATAAATATTTCTAAATTATGTGAAACAATCAAGAAAAATAATTTACCTAAGGAAGAATATGAATGCCAAATAAGTTGGACAAGTAGGTCCGTCAAAACAAGATCTCCTAGCACTAGTTGTGTTGGAGACTATTTTTGACAAAAAGAACATACAAATTTATATTACAACATTTCTCAATTTTATTTCTACAACCCTCATCGTCATCCCACCAATTTAACCGTCGTAGTTCCAACAATATCACCAAAAATGACGGACCAGAGAAAACGTTTGTAATTCAATTTTCTATTATGTTTGAATGCCACAAATTACTCTTCATAAATATGCCAATTGAGCTTCTATTTATCTACTTACTGAAGTGGTAATTTTACTTTTAACTTATTTACANTGAATGCCACAAATTACTCTTCATAAATATGCCAATTGAGCTTCTATTTATCTACTTACTGAAGTGGTAATTTTACTTTTAACTTATTTACAAATAATTTAAATAAACAATTACAAACCCTATTTTTTTGTTAAAACTTAAATGTACTTGGGAGAAACAACAAATCCTAGAAGTCCCTTTTTTTTTTAAGTTATTCCAAATGTTTATGCTCTGTTTGATAGGGAGGGTTGAAAGTAGGAAAAATACATTTTTTATCCTTCAATGATGAAAAGTAAGAAAGATACATTTTCCTTCTTTTGTATTTGGTTGGATTAATGGAAAATAAAAATGACTAATTTTTTTTTTTTTGGGCTAAAATTAGAGGTGACAATCGAGTCAAGCTATGTCGTGTCAGATTCGTGTTGAGTCATTACAGTTTGTGTCGAATATTATTCAAATATAACTTAACTCATTTAACTAATTGTGTCGTGTCGAGTTGCGAGTTGACTTGTTTATTTTTGTATCGAGTTCGAGCCGTGTCATCGTGTTGAGTCGAAAATTTTCACCCTTAGTTAAGATAGAAAAAATAAAAAAAAATTAATTTTTTTTAAAATTTTTAATTTTTTTATAAAATTTATTTTTAAAATTTTTTAAAATATATATACATATTTTATCATTGTATTTTTATATGAAATTAATGTATACATAAGATATATAGATAAATAAGATACATCTTAACACAAATAATTAATTTTTCATCCATTTTTTTTCCAATTTTGGAGAGATTGATTTTTGTGAGTTGGAGGAAAAACTAATTCATCCACTTTTCTATCTGTCCTATTTTCCTTTCTTACCAAACATGATGTTTTATTGATCCTTCAAACTTTTCATCCTCTCATTTTTTTATCGTACCAAATAGAGCATTAAATATTATCCCCAACCATATATTGAAATTCACTCCGTGTGAGTGAATTAAACTAGCATCTAGTTTTATGCATTTGAAGAAAAAGTGTAAATAACCAATTATTTTACACTATTTTGCTTCGTTAAAAAAAAAAAAAGAGATACAAGAAAGAAAAAGCACACCAATTTTTTATTTATTTTTGGGTACATAGGAAAAGCCAAAGTTTTATCTAAACCCTTTAGCGAAAGAGATACAAGAAAGATCATTCTAAAAAAATTGTTCCAACACAAGCGATAGGACATCAAAAAACACAAAAGAGTCCTGTGGTAGCCCTCTCAGGCTTGCCATCTTGTCATCTCAAAATTTTCTTCTGTCAGTGTGCGAAGAATGGGGGTATTAGTCAATCCTATTATATACTAAAAGTTGACAATGATTTTCCTTTCGAGGTGGAGTTCCTCCAACCTAGCACTGATTAAGTTGAGGGCTTACAAAGAGTCAATTTTCATGATCATGAGTGTTTGGGCAATCTCTCAGTATATGAATTGTGCTTTCGTTGTGAGCCTTGCTTCTCTCACAAGAAGGATCATTCGTGACTAAACTTTATAATCTTGTCATTTTTAATTTTAAACAACTCAGTTTCATGAGTTTAAGTCTTTAGTGGATCCATTAAGAAATTTAGTGTATTAGTTGTTATAATTATTATTAGAATTGAGTTTTAAGCAAAGACATATCCAAAGCATCGTTTTGATGGTTATGTTGTGTCACATGAAAAGGTCACGATATAGTAGTGTTTAAGGGTCAGGAGTGTTCAAGTCAACCTATAATCACCTTGATTAATGTCTTCATTGGTCTCTCATCCATGTTATAATTAGAATATTTATAAGAAATAAATCTATCATAACTTGACTCTAAAGAATTGTCCAGATTCAAACCCAAGACTTATGAGTTTACAGCATGTCTTTGTTATTTACTTAAACTGAAAACACCTATAATAGAAGTAGAAACCTATTATGAAATAGAGTTTATGCAGTTCTATAGTTCAATGATAGAAACCAATTTCATAATGTATGAAATAGAATTTATGCAATTCAAACGAGTATATATAGTTTCAAGTTAATTTTAAGATGAACCACATACTTAGATGTTTTTGATTTAGTTTTCACTATGACCTTAAATTTGATAAATAATTTCAATTAGCAGGTGATTCGGATATTTTATATATAATCAAAATAGGTCCAATAGGGTTTTGTCTTGAACTTGATCAAGAAAAAAAAAGGTTTTGTCTTTAAGAGGTTTTACTATATTCCCGTAATTTATCAGAAAAAGGCAAGAAAATTGAAGTGTAATCCATGTTTGCACTTTGTTTTTAAGTAAAGGGCAATAGTTTAAAGTTGTGGGGAATAATCTGTAAATGCCCCAAAATACTAGTGTTTTTTTTATAATCCACGGACCGACCCGGATAATTTACCAAATCGACAAGGATCCGAGTCGTGGATCCTCACCCAAGGACGCTAGGGCTTCAAGCGTTCCGTATAAACATATCTCATTCACTATTTTCTCACTGCTCCTGAAATTAACCCTAGTTCCAGAGAAGCAGAGCCGTCTGAGTTGCGGAGACACAAGAGATCATCCAAGATGGTGAGAGAGAGAGAAACTCTTGATCTTCTTCTCATTCTTCATCGATTCGCTAAATCTAATTTGCGTGTGTATATATATGTGTGTGCAGACATTCAAGCGAAGGAATGGAGGCCGCAACAAGCATGGCCGCGGTCATGTCAAGTTCATCCGCTGCTCCAACTGCGGCAAATGCTGCCCAAAGGTCTTTTCATTATTGCTCTCTCTCTTTAGTATGCATGCTTGCCTAGATCTGTTTAGGATTCTTGACTGAAATCGATGTTGATCCACCGGCCCACATGTATCTTATTATTGGACGGTTATGCACCCAATATTTTTTCCAGAGGTTGTATACAATTTTGTGGAAAGATCATTTAAAAGTCTGGGATTATATTCAATTGGTATAATTATTTCATTTGTTCAGTGGAGTACAATAACATGTCCATACCATACGTGTGTTTATGTGTTTGTGTGTAAAAACAGTTATTGTAATTATATTTGTTTGGAAGAGTACACCTATATAGATGTATCTTTTGGGACTGTATGTTCATGTTCAGTACGTGACGTATTCTGGTAAATGCTTGAATCACTGTAAATTCATGGTAGGAAAATGATTTGATTTTTTGGGCAGTTATTTTGTGATTATGGTGATTTGTTACCTTGTATACAAATAGGTAGGTAGATGTGCACTATACAGATATAAATTGAGGATTGCATAAGTACTATGGATTGCTTGTTTGTTATGTTGGGGTTATGCTAGTTGTTTGCCCTAAATGAGGTTCTTATTGTTTTGCCGTATTTTGTGCTTTCTGTATTTTTTTACATGTTGTGTGATACTTAGACAGATCTGAATTTGTCTGTAGTTATTATTGTCATTGAAACTCTGTTTAATCGAAGTATGATTTTGTATCTATCTATTTCAGGACAAAGCTATCAAGAGGTTTCTTGTGAGGAACATAGTTGAGCAAGCTGCTGTTAGGGATGTGCAAGATGCTTGTGCATTTGATAGTAATTCTCTTAGCTTCTTTATTTTTTATGCAATTTCTTTTTTAGAATTAGTTATTTGCTTTGTAATGATGAAGATAATTAACCAAATGGTAGCTGTTATGTGTATTTAGCGTACACTCTCCCCAAGTTGTATGTGAAGATGCAGTACTGCGTTTCATGTGCAATTCACTCAAAAGTTGTTAGGGTCCGCTCTCGCACAAATAGGAGGAACCGTGAACCACCTCAGCGATTCAGGCGCCCAAGAGTATGTTTACTTCACCTTCTGTAATTGTTAACAGTTTTTAGTCTTCTCGGACTGATATGTTCTGTTGCTGGGATTTGATCATCCTTTGAATGATTTAAGCAGTTTGTCGAAATTGGACTTATTAGACATGAAATACTTATCTAAAGCGAAAATTGAATTTGTATTAAATGAATATACCAACGCTATCTGGCCAATGGTCTGCCTTGTATGCAATTCGCAGGGGCACACATAATGACAGTTACAATACCAATGAATTTTTAAACCTTGCTACGTGGTATTGCATCTCTATAATATTGCTGCTTATTATATCAGTTTTCTTATATAATTCTCTTCATTGCTTCAGGAGGATCTTCCAAGGCCAGGGCAAGCACCGCGTCCTGCTTGGGGAGCTCCAGTTGCTGCTCGTACTTGAAAACCCACTTGTTATTCTGCTCTACTAAGCTTTTAAACTTGGTTTCTGTGGAGTTTCATTATGCTTCAGTATATAAAGGTTTTGACCTTGACTGTTACTTTGTTTTATTTTAAGGTGGCATAGTACCTTCTTATCATTCAAAATTGCTCTAAAACTAAAGAGTTTTAAATTCTATCAATGAAGTGTTTTCAGACTTGTGACTGCTTGATTATGGAGATACACACCCTTTTATCATAGCATATAGTTCAGTGTCGAACTCGGGGAGTTCATAGCTAGAGGGAGATCTAGGGAACATTACATTATTATTCATAGTTTATAAAGTGAAAACCATGTTTTCATTTTTTATCATAATTTGATGCGCAACCCTTGATTTTACTTTGCTGAAATTTAATGGCCTTGTATTATTATAGCTGGTTGCAATATATTATTGCAGTAGGAATGCAAAACCTTGTTGAGTTCAAAGCCATTCTTATATATGACTATAACCTGCAATATCTTTAAATTTCTTGCTTCATGCTGTGGTTTAATAATTCTGTGATGGTTGCAGTATCCTTTTAGGTCACATGGTACAGGAACAGGATTATCATGGTCGTCCTTGCTTTGGCAGAGGAAGAAATCTTATGGTGGTCTTGTAAATCACATGTTTATTACTTCCTATAGGAAATCATCAACCGTAGAACAGTTGTCCTGGTGATATATAATCTTTAGGCCCTGCGTCAGTTAATCTCTCTCTTGTGACGGTTCAAATTATCAAGTCTTATAGGTCATGTGCCTGATTTAGTAGTGTTTCAATTATTGAGCTGTTCATTGACTGGTACTTCCATAATACTTGGTATTACGTTGAAATTGGTCTGGTAATTGGGATACTGCTTTCGAATAGGCGTGTGCATTTTCTGGGTCCACCCCTATTATAGATTTTCTTAATCTATAATAATAAAACGGAGTTTTGAGTTGTTTAAACTCCTCGGTCAGAAAAGTACAATAATGGTTTAGATCCTTTAGTTTTGATGGTTTATATTATAATTTAGTTTTATAACTTTTTAATTATGGTAATTTATTTAAATTTTAACTTTTAACTTTTNTTTTTATTTATTTTTTCTCCCAATTTTGTAAAGATTGATTTTAATAAATTAGAAATAAACTTAATTCATCGACTTTTGCATCATTTCTATTCACTTACTTTTCATCCTTTTAATTTTTCCATCGTACCAAATGAAATTTAATTGTTTCATCTCAATTGATATGATACAATTTTCATCATCAGATAATTGAGTTTCATTAATATTCAATAATTAAAATTATGCTACATTACTTGAAATGAAAAGCTTGGTAAATATAATATTACTATTATATCAAAGCGATTTTCCTTATTCCTATATTAGACCTCTAGAATTAGAAAAAAATATTATTTGAATTTAATTTGAAGATCTAATAATCTAATCAACTATTATTGTTGGATTTAAAGTGAGTTGTATCTAACATTGAAACTTACTATTTATTCAATAGTAATATTAAATTAAATTCTCCAATGAGATCTTATAACATTCCTCTTGAAATTATGCTTTTAATACATAGATTGTGTCTTTTAAAATTAATTACCATTGTGATTGCATGACCTTATTGTTTTGCAAAGAGAATACTATTTTAAAAGAAAAGTATCCCCAGGAATTAAAATATTACGATTTAAACTAATTAGGGTGCGACTCAAATATATCAAAATTACAACATCAATGAACGTCAAAATATTTGAGATTGATAAAAGAATGTTCGAAGAACGATTTTAATGAATTTTTGTATATCGTAAATTAATTTATTATAATTATTATTTGATATGATTGAATTATAAATTTAAATAAAATATAAAATATTAATGACGGTGCCATAACTTTCTCACTATATTATCAGAATCATATATATATATATATATACAGACACACACACAAAACCCTCGTCCCAATCAACTCCACATTTTTTTCTTACCTAAAAAAAAAAAAAACCTTCACCAAAGGCTGAGTGTGTGTGTGTGTGAGAGAGAGAGAGGAGCTTGACATGACATGTGGACTTTAGGAAGAACGGTTTCATATTGTTATTGTGCAGTTTAGCCAGAGCTGTAACCGAGGCAAATACTAATTAAACGACGACGTGAGACTTATCTAATTCCCTGAAACGTCATCGTGTTGAACTGCATCTTTCCCNAAAAAAAAAAAACCTTCACCAAAGGCTGAGTGTGTGTGTGTGTGAGAGAGAGAGAGAGGAGCTTGACATGACATGTGGACTTTAGCAAGAACGGTTTCATATTGTTATTGTGCAGTTTAGCCAGAGCTGTAACGGAGGCAAATAATAATTAAACGACGACGTGAGACTTATCTAATTCTCTGAAACGTCATCGTCTTGAACTGCATCTTTCTCGTAAGAAACCAATAAATCTTGATATTTAGTACCATTTCCCCATCACTTTTCGCTTCCCATTCTCGTCTCGTTGCGTCGCAGGCTTTCTCGCTGCAGACGTGAATGAGAGAGATATATAGATAGAGACAGCCCAACCATGTATATCTAGAGAGAGACAGAGAGAGCGAGAGAGGGAACACACATACACAGAGGGGGTGATTTTAGGAGGTGGGTTTTCTCTGCACAAGAGGTTGAAGAAAGAAAACGGAAGGCTAATTCGTTTGGATGATTTCCTACTAAACCGACCGATTAGCAGCCGCTTGTTGTCTCAGTCTCCGACTTTCCTGTTCGCTTTCTTCATATGTATATACAAATACACATACATGCACAGATATAGAGATGTACACATTTGTAACTGAAACAATTCACACAATGCTCTGCTGATTCCGTGAATTCCTAAACACCCAATTTTGTTTTCTCTCTCTCTCGACCCGTTTCTCTCCAGAATCTTCCATGTTGATTGCACCCTTTTCTGCCTCAATGGCCTTAAAAACCCTTTGCCCTGTTTTGGGTCTTTGAAGGATCTCCTGTATGGGTGATCTCCAAGTGTGGTGTGGGTGCCAAAACGGCGTTGCGATGGAGGATGACCAGTTCTTTTCGTCTAATTCACTGCCAATGGCTTCTTCAAATCCTGATCCTTCATCAATCTGCAAGAATTGTTGGGCTGTAGCTGAAGAAACGACGCAAGAGGTGGTGAATCGTATCCACCCCACTTTGGACTCTGAGGAAAAGAGGAAGGACGTGATTGATTATGTTCAGAGACTCGTCAGAACTTCTCTTGTTTGTGAGGTGAATTTTCATATTTCCTCACTTTATTTTAGATGTATATATATTCTGGTATAATTTGGGGTGGGCCGATGTCTACATAGTTAGTGTTTGTGTAATTGGTTTTCTTGGTTGTTGGTGTGTTGGTGTGATACTATCTGTTGGACACTCAAATTCTAACGATCTGTCGATAGTTTTTCTTTTGTGTGCGTAAAAGTAAACAATTCAGGCAATTCATTGATTTTTCTGCTTGTTCCATTTGTGGAAGAGTAAAACAAGTGTTAAAATGCACGTAACAAGGTATTTAACCATGATTATCTCTCATTAAGCCCGTTTCATTGCTTTTCACCCAATGGTTTGATTCCATTTATGATTGAGTTTATATGGGTTTGTTGCCACTTGCCTGCATCATTTCAATTCTTTTGACATGTTGGCACCCTGGGGCAAGTTATTGCTCGTGGTTTATTGTGTTTAAACAGAGAGTTGCAGCCATTAGGATTTCGTTATGACTTTTTGTGGGATTAGGGTGGGTTTACACTCAAGTTGTATGACCAATGAGTGCCACTTGGGACGTCTCGGGAATTAGGTCCTTAATAGTTAACACACTTAAGGGCACTTATGTCTGTGTTGGCACAGGTATCTTGAGCTTCTTCTTTTATATTTCATTAACAAATTATCTATGTGCACTATGAATAGTTGGCTACAGCCCTGATGATTGAGTGATTATGGCTTAATATGTCGACATAGGATTGGGTATGAGCTGTTTAGCTGTAACATTCCACATACTAAAATGATCCATATTCCTCCTTTTTCTCACTTTTTTCATCATTAATCCTGTATTTTGTTAGTTTTCTTCCAGATGAATGCACATGCAATTGTGATGATTAGCTCCACTGACTAAGCATATGCGTTGTTATGGATGTCAATGCCTTCTTTCTGAACAAAAACTACAGTAGTTTTTCTTGGAAGTCCAATTTCAACCCACTGCTTATGAATGAAGCTTCATTTGTTTCTTTGNTATGTCGACATAGGATTGGGTATGAGCTGTTTAGCTGTAACATTCCACATACTAAAATGATCCATATTCCTCCTTTTTCTCACTTTTTTCATCATTAATCCTGTATTTTGTTAGTTTTCTTCCAGATGAATGCACATGCAATTGTGATGATTAGCTCCACTGACTAAGCATATGCGTTGTTATGGATGTCAATGCCTTCTTTCCGAACAAAAACTACAGTAGTTTTTCTTGGAAGTCCAATTTCAACCCACTGCTTATGAATGAAGCTTCATTTGTTTCTTTGTTAACATAATTCTGTTTCCATTATATTATGAAACATTTTTTAGTGAGAGCAAGTCACGTGGAACGAATATTGTTCTATATAATTGAAGTGAAATAAGATGGACTTTTCTAATTGATATGCATATTTTTTAGGTTTTCCCTTATGGATCAGTTCCACTGAAGACCTACCTTCCTGATGGAGATATTGATTTGACGACCCTTAGCAGTCCAAATATTGAGGAACGTTTGGCCTTTGATGTTCTTGCTGTTCTGCGGGCAGAAGAACTGAATGAAGATGCCGAGTATGAAGTAAAGGATACCCAATTCATTGATGCTGAGGTTTTTGTTCAGTCTGATCTATTCTTGTCTTTTTCACTTAATTGGTTTAATATATGCCTCATTCTTCAGAGGTTTGTTTAGCCTCAATAATCTTAGTTAGTAGTACTTCTTTTGAATTACTTTTTGAGAATCATACTTTTGTTTCTTTTTTTAAATTTTTTTGATCAGGGAATCATTTTATATTTCTAGTTTCCAAAATACACCATATCCTACCTGCATCACCTACTAGGCACAAATCTTGACTTTGAGGCCTTGATAACACAAAATCTCAAGTAATGCTCTAGACTAGAGTCTAATGGTCCTTCATTGTGTATTGGACTATAGAATTTTAGTGGATTGAGATTTGAATTGTGTAGGATAGTAAGACCGTATAATTTAAATGGATTGAGTTCCGGATTGTAGGATCCTGATCCCTATTGCTCTATGACCGATCCAATATTGGAAATATTAGGCCCCTTTAGTTATTAAATTGACGTAGTCCATATATATTCCGTTTGTACTTAAAGGCTAGTCCATGTGTGATGGTTCCATAAGCTTATTAGTCATTAATTAAGAAGCACAGATACGGACACGGGGATGTGGCAAAGTTCCAAAATACATGATATGGATACGGCGAGAGTAGGACTAATTAAAATAATATTATATACTTTTTCTATATAATAAAAAATATTAATAATAACTAATAAGACTTAGCAAACATTAATTTTTTAATTAAAATTGAAATAGGTCAAAGATTTGAAATAAACATCCACCATTTCTTCTAATATTATTACATCAATTGGCATTCATAGTCCATAAGTTTGCTAACAAAAAAACACAAAAACAAAAGAAATTAACTTGATTAGAATTCTAGATTTAAGCTTCAAATAACATATTAGAATTCCATATGCAGGTATATTTAGAATTTCATATAACAATCCAGATTATAATTTTTTTCAGATTAAAGTTCCACTCGTGAGATTGGGGTGACTGGTGAAACGAAGGTTTATGCACAAGAAGTAACTTGATTTGTGTTGGTGAGCTTGGTGAAAAAAAGTATTCCCAAAAAAATTGTTCAAACAACAAAAAGCCCAAAAGAGTTCCAAAATTTCAAAACCCTAACCCAATGAAATTCATAAACCAGATGATTTTAAACGTAAATAGAAAAATCAAAATACAAACAATCCCAAATCATGCAAACCACGAAAGTTGCAAAACCCTAGAAAAGCCCATAATGGAACCTGATTTGTAGAAGAATATTAGTTTTTTGGTTATCCCTCCTCTTCTTATTCTTCTCCTCTCTTCGTTGCCAAAGAAAATTGGGTTTGTCTCCTTCGATGGCGATGGCGATGGCAATGGCAATGGCCTTTGCCTTCGCCTTCGCCTTCGCCTCCTCTCTCAATCTCTCTATTTTCTCGTCTAATCAAACGAGGGAGTTGAGCCTAGGAATGAAAGAAATAAAAAGAGACCTAAATGACGATGTCTTCTTTTAAACCTTTATTTTATTTTGTCTTTTTGTTTCAACCCCCTAACTTTTTTAGATAACAAAAATAACACTGTTGTATCCTATAAGTGTCATGCTCATGTCCCATATTTGTCCACCCCGTATCCTATTGAACTTTTTTATTTTCTATTCAAAACATTTGTAGAAGTGTTGGACACGTGTCTAGCCATATCCCATGCGTATTCTTGTCGGACACGTGTTCGGTTGTGCCCCACGCAACCCCTCGTNTGTTGGACACGTGTCTAGCCATATCCCATGCGTATTCTTGTCGGACACGTGTTCGGCTATGCCCCACGCAACCCCTCATNCTATTCAAAACATTTGTAGAAGTGTTGGACACGTGTCTAGCCATATCCCATGCGTATTCTTGTCGGACACGTGTTCGGTTGTGCCCCACGCAACCCCTCATCGAGTTTCTGTGCTTCCTACGTTATTAGATAAGTTTAACGTATGAGAAAAGTTATAGAAATTTCTATTAAATTGTATGTTTTTCTTGTTGTGGTTTGTCTGCCTCACTTTCGAGTTTCGATAAGTGATACAACCATGTGTATCTTTCATGGTTGTATGTTTTTCTTGTTGTGGTTTGTCTGCCTCACTTCAAGTTTCGATGAGTGATGCAACCATGTATATCTTCCATCTTTTATTTTCTTCTACATTTTTGTTGGATGTCAAACAATTAATAGTGTTACAGGCTCTCAATTTTCCTGGTCTCACCGTTGTCTTTCTCGCNTTCGAGTTTCGATGAGTGATACAACCATGTGTATCTTTCATGGTTGTATGTTTTTCTTGTTGTGGTTTGTCTGCCTCACTTCAAGTTTCGATGAGTGATGCAACCATGTATATCTTCCATCTTTTATTTTCTTCTACATTTTTGTTGGATGTCAAACAATTAAAAGTGTTACAGGCTCTCAATTTTCCTTGTCTCACCGTTGTCTTTCTCACACTCTTAATTAAGATGAAAATACTACAATTCTCTATTATTCTTCATAAAATCCTACAAGATGAGCAACCCATTTATGATTTTCTTCCATTTTCAAAACCCACATTGTAGTTTTTCAAGTTTTATCATATATGTAAGTTCTGTTATGTACGTACCAGCAATAACCCTGTGTCTAAAGACACTCTATAATACTAAAAATAGAACATTGATCGTTCAATATTTTATATTTTAAATAATAATTTATTTTTTTTATTTTCTTTAATTATGTAATTTAAAATTAAAGTGAACATGTTGAAAATAAAAGAGAGGTAAGTGGGGATTAATAGAGTTGTTTGGTATTGGAGAGTATTGGTTGAATTGATTGACATTGAGGGACGTGCATAGAAAATGATGTTTGAGTTGAAAAAAAAATTGTGATGAATTTTGTACCATTAAATCAAAATAGATGAAAATAAGATCAATCTTTTCACAGTTACTGAGCTTTTATAAGTTGATAATTCAACTTGCTAGATTTAATATTAGATAGATAATAGGCTCGTTTTATTTCTATATTTATTAGATTTTGTATTGTTAGACGCTTTTTTAGTCCCATTTTTCTCAGTTTGTAGCTTCTCTTACGATTTTCAATGCGGTTCTATGATCCCAAACCTTAGCCTCTCCCTTGATCCAAGATTGGATCACGATTTTAAATACTTTGGCTCAGGCTCAGTTTTTCTCGAAGTTTACTGGATAGTAGCAACCCAATTTTGTGCAAATTTTCCTGTGTGTGAGATCTTGGATGTTTATATTTTCTTCAAGTTTTGTGGATTGTGAGTAATGCCACACTTATTTCGGATCTTTACTAGTCTCTTGTGCAGTTTTGTTGGCAATAGACTGTTCATGTGTGCGTTGATTTCCTGATAAACTTCACTTTAGATGCAGATGCTATTAGTTTCTGTGAACTGTAATTCTTTCAATTTGCTACTTTGGACTTGGTGATTATATGTAGAGGAATACAAAAACCCTCCCAAATCTGCCACTGGGTGCAGAATTTCTTTGCTTCTACAGGCAGGGCGGAATTCCAAGTACTACAATGTATCCAATTCTGATCTAAACTCTTTAGGATTGTCGCTGACTCGCTGTCCTNGTGCAGAATTTCTTTGCTTCTACAGGCAGGGCGGAATTCCAAGTACTACAATGTATCCAATTCTGATCTAAACTCTTTAGGATTGTCGTGTAATTACTCTTGTGGGCAGATTGATGTCTTTTAAACTAATTCACATATTTCCAAATTTTAGACAAGCTGCACTATGCATTAATGGCTGAGTAATTTTTTTGGCTAATTTCTATTCAATAGTCACCCTCTAGCCTTTTTTATCACTTGTGCGAAGATTTCTACTGAGAATATTTGAATTTCTTATGGCAGGTTAAGCTTGTGAAATGCCTTGTACAGAATATTGTGATAGATATATCCTTCAATCAACTAGGAGGACTTTGTACACTTTGTTTTCTTGAACAGGTATTGGATGAGGCTTTCTAATAAAATATAAATTTATACTTTCTTCTTGTCTTACAAGTGTGAGCTTGATTCTTACTTATTGATTATTTCATTTTGCCTTTCAAAATGCATATGCAGTAAGCCTCTTTTCCTCTAGATGGAATTTCAAGGAGTGCCAGTTCTTTGTTGTTGTTTTCGGTGATGATTGTGGTAGTCTTAAAATGCTTTTGCAAAGTGTCAAATAAGTTCATGGTAATAAAAATGTGGACCCCCACCCCAAAAAAGGAGGAGGAGAAAATAAGCTTATCTGCTGTTGGTAAGTACACAGAGATAAACTAAATGGAAAGCTTTCTTCAAATTGGACTTCATACAGGATAGTGACAGAACTAGGTGTTATATTGGTTCTAGACACACTTGGAAAGTCTGCTGAGCTGAAGGTTGACCAAATTGTGCTTTTTGGATATTGACATTTTCTTTAATGTAGGTTGATCGCCTTGTTGGAAAAAATCATCTTTTCAAACGTAGCATCATTCTGATAAAAGCTTGGTGCTATTATGAAAGCCGTATTCTTGGTGCCCATCATGGTTTAATTTCTACCTATGCTTTGGAGACATTGGTCCTATATATATTCAACCTGTTCCACTCATCCTTAGATGGCCCACTAGCGGTAACTACTGGTTTTGCAAATTGCCATTGCAGTGATGGACAAAATGATTGCATGACTTCAACTGATTTGTTTGCCTATCTATAGGTCCTTTATCGATTCTTGGACTATTTTAGCAAATTTGATTGGGAGGACTATTGTATCAGTTTGAATGGGCCAGTTCTCAAGTCATCCTTGTCTGATATAGCAGGTAAGATACACTCTTGTTCTTTTCGATATCGTACATTATGAGTTTCTCTATTCCCTGTCTGAGCACTCTCCCTCTGAATGGACAGTTGAGTTACCAGTGAAGGGACAGGATGATTTGATGCTCAGTGAAGAATTTCAAAGAAATTGTCTAGACATGTACTCAGTTCCATCCAGGGGGCTTGATACTAGCTTGCGATCATTTTCTCAAAAGCATCTTAATATAATTGATCCGCTGAAAGAAAATAACAACCTTGGGCGCAGTGTCAACAGAGGTAAGAAGAGATATTTGAATTGCTGTGATACTGGGCTTCTGAAAGTTTCATAAAATGGACAAGTAGTAAGAAACTTTCTCTTTTTTCTATGTTGTGAACTTGTGATCAGGAAATCAGTGAAATGCATAAAAATAAAATGAATATCGTAATCTTATGTTTTGGTTATTTGGTTCTAAGGATTGAAAAAAGTCCAAAAAAAACTCAACACTTGAAAAGCAAATGGTTTATTGAAGGTTTAGTTAGGTGGAGGTATGTTTTTGCTGCATTCTTGATTAGAAACCCAGTTAGCTGGTTAAATTTAGACTCTTGTGTCTCTTGGACACTCTCAGGCTTTCTTTCGGAGTTACAGAGACTCAACTCAGTCTTCTGAAGCTAAAAAAAAAAAAATTGAAATGGAAAAAGGAGGGAAAGGGAAGGGAAGATAGACAGGGAGGACCTAAGAACTTACTTTGGCAATGTACCTTCAAATATATTTAATGTGGCAAATAAAATGTTTCTTTCTTGTGAGATAGGAAAATTGTTGCATTTGGAACTAGGCATGATACCAAAGGATATTGCTACACCAGTACACCAACAAATTATTGCCATACCACTGCCAGCACTGCATGCACCGCAACTATAATCTTCACCGACATTATCCTATTCTTGTCATGTTAATGTGGCGCACTTTGGTTCCCTGTAGGCAATTTCTATCGTATACGTAGTGCTTTCAAATATGGGGCTCGCAAGCTTGGTAAAATCCTTCTGTTACCAGGAGAAAGAATTGCAGGTGAAATCAAGATGTTCTTTGCAAACACCCTGGAGAGGCATGGATGTAAAGATGGTGCTGATATACAGAGTTCTGCACTGCCATTTGGTGTGAAATGGTCCAGCAATTTGTCCTCATCATCCCATGCTGAAACACTATCTGAGGATGAAATGCAGCCAAAATCATCAAATGACGATTTTTCTGATAATAATTTAGGGGTAGAACACAAATGCACTTCAGTACTAATAAATGGGCTAGACAGATGCTTGACTAGACTAGATCGTTCACAGATAATGTCAGAATCCAGTTGTTCGACAGATGGGACTGCTGTCTCAGGATGTCGCGGTGCTGGGGATGCAAATGGCCTTGCAACACCCAGGCCTCTGAGTTTGAGAAGCTCAAATGACACAACTGACTGCTCACCAATAAGTAGCAATTTTAATAGTTCTCTTTCTGGGCAATTTTACGATGCATCTCATTTCTACTTCTCCAGAGTGTCCACAGAAAATGGAAACTTTGAAAATGGGATCCTCTGCCAGAAAAGGCCATCAGATTTCGTTGATGAGAAGATGGGTTATCATTCATGGATGGAACAGGGAGAGAACCATTTAGAGGCCAGCCACACAGTCTGTTCATGTGCAAACAATCATGAAGGTCTGAGCTCTAGTGGGTCGGCAATCTCAAGTCTTGACATTAACAGCTTAGAGAGTCTATCTCTTGATTTTAGGGAAATGGGCTTAGGTGGCGACATGGAAACTTTGAATCCCTTAGCAGACCTCAGTGGGGATCATGATAGTCACATTAGGAGTCTTCTGTACGGTCAAAGTTGTCATGGATATGCTTTATCTGCTGCACCTGGGATGCCCAGTCCTCCCACATCGCCCTCTCAGTTCAGCAACAAGAGGCCTTTGGATACTGTCCGACAAACCAGGCCACTCAAGCAGAATTCATGTTTGAGCACAGATAGAGTGGCCTTGGGACCACCTGTTTATCCTGCTAACAAATCAACACTGTTCAATGCTACTTTTGGTTCCATTGAAAAACATACAGAACGAGGAACTGGCACATATTTGCCCACTATGGTATATTCTTGTCAACCCTTTTGGATACATGCGTTCCTCTGCTCCCTCCCCCCTTTTGGTTATTGTTGGCAAGGATATGTGCTTCCTGTAGAATAGTTTCTGGTGTCAAACTAAATGCAACAGTCTCATTTTGCAGTAATCTCACTCTTGAAGTTTTGCAGAACTTATTTTCAGGCAGGGAGAGATCCTCACAAGGGAAGAGAAGATATCGTGCAACAGGAACTCACAGTCAAGTGCGGAGACACACCCATATCAATGGTGTGGCTCCTGCTTTGCCCGAAAAGAATTCAATTCAAGTAGACAGTCAAGATATTTCATGTGTCAGGTCCCCGGTTCAAGGTCATGGGAAGTCTGGTTTATCCCACCAGTCTCATCAGTCCAATGTGGGCAATACTCATGCCAATGGCTTCTCCAATTTAGCTTTGAGAATTGAATTTGGATCTCTTGGACAGCTAGCCGATGGAAACAGTCAGCTGTCTTCACGCACTTCTCAAGCTTGGGCTTCTACATCAAACCCTGTGGTACCAGAAGTGCAGACTTCCAAACCAGTGCTGAAAAAAAAAGAAGAAAGGTAGCAAGTTTTTTTTTAACATTGCTTCAGTATTTTGTGGGTAACAAAGAATGTATTTGGCTATTCGACATTTCTTCCTTGCTAACATCTAAAGTTATGTACATGGTTTGGGTTTTCAGGGTTGCCGAGGGATCCTATTACCTTAAGAATGAAGACTTCCCCCCTCTGTCCTCCTGAATGCTTTAGATAGGATGCTAAAGACTGAAAAAGTCTAATAGTTGTAGATGCTAACAAACTAATGTGATATTTAGGGAGAGGATTGTTCTTTCATACTCATAATTTCTTTTTCGACTTTTTTAGTTGTTTGTAAGTATATAATGTACAATCTGGTAGCATTTTAACTCCTGGTTGGTTTTTTGCTTTTGCATCTCCATTTGTTGGCTTTTTAGTATAGGATCTTTTTAGTAGAGGGAGTGCCGATCTGTTTTTGTTTGGTTAGTGGAAGAAATTGGATGTCGATATAGGTCATACGCATTAAGATATGCTTAGTAAACTTATGTGCGTGTTTAAATACGCGGCAATGGGTATTATAAATGACAGAGTGGTCTTGGTCTTTCTATCACGACTTACTGAGATTCAACTTTTTATTGTTCCGATTCATCCATCCAAAAAAAACACTTGTATGCGAATATGATTGTGTGTGTGTGNGGCAATGGGTATTATAAATGACAGAGTGGTCTTGGTCTTTCTATCACGACTTACTGGGATTCAACTTTTTATTGTTCCGATTCATCCATCCAAAAAAAACACTTGTGTGCGAATATGATTGTGTGTGTGTGAGAGAGAGAGCTGCAATTTGGCCTCATGAGTTTTGAAATGTTAGTAATGGTGCAATTTACTATCTTGAAGCCGAATCTTGAGCAATGGTGTTGCAGGAAGGTGACAGGTGTCTCAATTTCATCAGTTGTAGAGAAAGCAATGCTCAAAACTGGAACTAATTTGGAATGGCTTGGGGTGGTTAGACGAGGATCAGACTAATTACATTAATCATTTAAAAAGTTCAAAAAAAAAAATAAATTATATAATGGTAGATNAAGCCGAATCTTGAGCAATGGTGTTGCAGGAAGGTGACAGGTGTCTCAATTTCATCTGTTGTAGAGAAAGCAATGCTCAAAACTGGAACTAATTTGGAATGGCTTGGGGTGGTTAGACGAGGATCCGACTAATTACATTAATCATTTAAAAAGTTCAAAAAATAAATAAATTATATAATGGTAGCTAAAAACTATTGAAAATAATAATTAATTATTTTCCAGGAGTGTACATGATTGCTTATGTTTTTTATTTAGTCCACATCACACATATAAGTCAACTAACTATAATCCGTGTTTAAAAGGACGATGAAATATAAAATTTAAATGCTAAAAATTTAATTCTACTACTTTAAATATTAATTTTTATTTACTTCTCTTTTTTTAATTATATAATTTAAAATTAATTTATACTAATTATTTTTTTAAAAAAAAATAACTTATACCAATTATTTTATAAAAAAAATTGATTTTTTTTCCCAAAATTGTATGACCACAAAAAAAAAAACATATGTGTACTATCGTACAAAAACAATATCTAAATTAAATTAATCAACTTGTTATAAACATAGATGATCTGATAGAAATAAACAGAAAAAATATATGGAGATAAAATTCAAAATAGTACCTATCTTATTATATAGATTATTTTGTGGATAACGAGGATTAAACATTTTGACCAAGGGAGGGTCTATTTTCACCTCACAAATATTCATTTTCATTCCATTAAAATTTTTATAATCGAACTACTCTAAGTCTACTGTTTTTATACCCACCCTATTTTAAATAAATTCTCCTTATTCTATAAATACCCCTTTAATAACAAGTTCACCTTTCGTCTTTCCAAAATTAGGGTTTCAATTCACTATTTTCTCTCATATAATCTACATAAAAGAGTTTTTTCAATATGGTTTTTTAGTGAGATACATGTTAGTATTATTTATTGATTTAATTATTTGTTTGATTATAGGGATTTTTATTTTTATTTTTTTTTGTGTTTTGATATTTTGTCAAGTTGAATTATTTTTGATTTACGGTTTATATGTGAGTCCATATATATATGTATGTATTCATACATTGTAATTTCTTGTGTTGATTATTTATAATTGTACATATAAATTATTCTCATAAATATACTCAATAGATTTTTTTGATCTAGTTTGTCTATACACAGAAAAGTTAATATTGTTGTCCACACTATAGAAACACAAATTACTGCTCCTCATGTTAAATTTAATGGAGGTTGTTTTGACAGAAGATATGATAGGTTTGGATAAGATCTAGATACAGAAATTAGTGTACTTATCAAAATTCATATTGAATTTTTTTTTTGTGTAGAGTGTATAAGAAGAGAAGGAAAATGAAACTCTAATTATGAGAAGATAAAATATAGGTATATTATTAAAAATGTATATATAATATGAGATAAATTTAGTTAAAAAGAGGTGGATATAAAAAGGACAATAATAACCTTATCTTTTCACCAATTACCATATACTTAGTTTGTCTCCTATGAAAACAATATAGTAATATAAACAAATTGAGCATCTCGTACATGAAGCAACAATAATTCAAAAAAAATATACTTAGCATTTTCCAAAAAAAAAAAAAAATGCATAGAGGACAATGCATTTAAAACTCAATAATTCAAATATAATAAGATTGGAAACTAAGATAACAAGCACCAGTGGTCTAGTGGTAGAATAGTACCCTGCCACGGTACAGACCCGGGTTCGATTCCCGGCTGGTGCATTTCTTGTGGAGAGCTGTGATGAAAGCTCTGCGCTCTACGTGACGACAGGGTCCTCACAATCGTCTGACTCCTCGGACGAAAACAAAGCGCATCTGGGCTCTCTTTCTTTTTTTTTTGACCTTTTTCTGATGTTGATCTGTTCATAAGTTCTTGTAATACTTATTATTTCACCACTGTTGATGTATAAATATAGTTAGAGTTTGTCGTGACTTGCAAAAATAAAAAAATTAATAGCACATTGGAGATAATGGAACATTGATTATGGTGATGGCCTATAATTCTCCGACACCGACTACAGTTAGTAATATAGATCAGTTAAATTCGTATAATTAAAAAAAGAACGTTTATTTGTTATTATATTGGTTAAGCGCTGACACCCCTCTTATAGAGTAAAGATCTATTTTGGATAGTTGCAAAATCTTCAATGTCGGTATAGAGACTTTATTTCTTGTTCGCTAAACAATCTTCTGTTGTAACACTTAACTATGCATTAAAAAGACAAACCGCACCTATTTTTGATTTTCTATGAGCTTAAGGTGAAAAGAAGACATGGACTCTAGTGTGCTTATGCAAATACTGTGATAAGGGTAACCCTTATTCTTATCCTTGTTTATTTTATCTTTTTAATTGATTCATATGTTTTTCTTCAATCAATTACCTAGGTGTCACTGATTCATAAATCAAATTTAAATTTTACGAGGGTCTACCTTGGATTATTATGTCTAATCTTTTTATTTTGGACTCTTGTTTTTCTTAAGTATAATCATACTAACATCAACCACAAGATTCATGTACAATATGACCTCTCTCAATTAAGAGGTTAAGAGATTAAGACTTGCTGAAATAATATAATATTTTCGGGTTAGGTTGTTGTTGCTGTCCATGTAGTTAGTCTTTGATGAATAGTCTTAACTTATCTTTATTGATAGTCCGGTGTCTTATTTAGACCGCTAACAACTTTAAAATTTTGATCAGTTAATAACTTGATAATTGCTCCTATGAATACAGATAGTGATCATAAAAATGAGAATGTTGTCACTAGAATGCGACACAAGCCAAACAAGTGGCAATTTACTTAGATATTCGAGTCAAAATGCCATGATTTCTATATTCAATTGGACTCCACTCAACACATTGAATCTCTCCCACTATCTTATTTAATTTAATACTCATGCCAAACTTTTTCCTGAATTTTCTTATTAGCAATCCATGTTTTTGCTTCTTTTATTGTGTATCACCTAATTTTTATGAATTATATATTTTTCTTTAGGTTAAATTCAAGATCATAGTGATTTTGTATGATGCACAAAATGACCAAAAAAACAAAACGAATTAATTATACCTATAATTATCTCGTTTAAAACGACTCTGCTTCTCTACAACCCACGTCTTAAGGTAGTTAGGCTGCCCAAATCTTTGTGTTTGAATAATTTCTTTGTATACTTAACACATTGTTTCGTGTGAGATTAAACAAAACTTGTTTTCTATTTGTCACAATTCGTCTGACCAGGGCGGAGCTAGAAAAATACTTTAGGGTGAGTNAAAAAAAAAAACATATGTGTACTATCGTACAAAAACAATATCTAAATTAAATTAATCAACTTGTTATAAACATAGATGATCTGATAGAAATAAACAGAAAAAATATATGGAGATAAAATTCAAAATAGTACCTATCTTATTATATAGATTATTTTGGGATAACGAGGATTAAACATTTTGACCAAGGGAGGGTCTATTTTCACCTCACAAATATTCATTTTCATTCCATTAAAATTTTTATAATCGAACTACTCTAAGTCTATTGTTTCTATACCCACCCTATTTTAAATAAATTCTCCTTATTCTATAAATACCCCTTTAATAACAAGTTCACCTTTCGTCTTTCCAAAATTAGGGTTTCAATTCACTATTTTCTCTCATACAATCTACATAAAAGAGTTTCTTCAATATGGTTTTTTAGTGAGATACATGTTAGTATTATTTATTGATTTAATTATTTGTTTGATTATAGGGATTTTTATTTTTATTTTTTTTTGTGTTTTGATATTTTGTCAAGTTGAATTATTTTTGATTTACGGTTTATATGTGAGTCCATATATATATGTATGTATTCATACATTGTAATTTCTTGTGTTGATTATTTATAATTGTACATATAAATTATTCTCATAAATATACTCAATAGATTTTTTTGATCTAGTTTGTCTATACACAGAAAAGTTAATATTGTTGTCCACACTATAGAAACACAAATTACTGCTCCTCATGTTAAATTTAATGGAGGTTGTTTTGACAGAAGATATGATAGGTTTGGATAAGATCTAGATACAGAAATTAGTGTACTTATCAAAATTCATATTGAATTTTTTTTTTGTGTAGAGTGTATAAGAAGAGAAGGAAAATGAAACTCTAATTATGAGAAGATAAAATATAGGTATATTATTAAAAATGTATATATAATATGAGATAAATTTAGTTAAAAAGAGGTGGATATAAAAAGGACAATAATAACCTTATCTTTTCACCAATTACCATATACTTAGTTTGTCTCCTATGAAAACAATATAGTAATATAAACAAATTGAGCATCTCGTACATGAAGCAACAATAATTCAAAAAAAATATACTTAGCATTTTCCAAAAAAAAAAAAAAATGCATAGAGGACAATGCATTTAAAACTCAATAATTCAAATATAATAAGATTGGAAACTAAGA